CTTTAAAAAAAAAAAAAAAAAAAAACAATGGCGACTAAGATGATTGCTTGTTATAACTCTTCGGTTTTAAAAAATACTCTTTTATGTTTTATAAATGTTTCAAAATTATCTTTAGAATACAAAAATTGTTAGAATGTAGACGAAAAATTGATGTTTAATTGTCGTTCTTATGGACTTGAGGAAAACAAGTATTTTAGTTGTGATCATTTAAAAAGTACTCTATTACGAGGATGATTTTATGCACAAGAAAATCCGCGATGTCTTCTGCCCAAAAAACATAAATCGAAGCAATGGAATCAACAAACTAGAAAAGAAATTTCTTCATCCCGGGAAGTTTCCCCAAATGTTCCATCACCAAATAATGTTGCAGAATCTCACGCTGTGTAGAAGGCTGATCACGGGTCTTTTTAACCATCTTGAATACGATGCAGTATGGTGCTCGCAACCCTGTTAGTGACTGCCATTGCGTCATAATTAAATGTCGCCAACTCTATCTTGGAGGATGCTCGACTAAGAATATGGACCCATCTCACCGCTGAGAGGTGAAAGCAATTCTCTCTTCTTCTCTTCGGCTCTCATGCCAAGACCCATTTTACACTCCAAAGCTGAGGCTGCAGAAAGCTTGGATGAAGAATTATTGTGTCCCAAAGAAGGCCCTCGTTTTACAGAGCCTCACCAAGCGTGCATTTATTGATATCTCCGTTGATGGAGAGCCTGCTGGTCGCATTATCATTGGCCTTTATGGTGACGACGCCCTTGCAGGAGTTGCTAGGTTTACTAACCTTGTAAGTGGAGCTGCAGGGATTTCTTACAGAAGAAAAGACTTTGTAAAGATCACATCAAACTATGTTCAGGACAGTGGAGTGAGATCTTACGGTGTGGATGTTGAGCTCGCAAAGAGGAAGGGAATGAGTTAGCATCCGAAACACTTAAAGATGAATGGAAGAGAGAACGAGAAGTTCTCTGGAACTAAGAACTTGGCTGGAACTGTAGGGATCATTGTGAGAGACCCTTTAAACCATCCCCCGAGTTAAAGTTGGTAGCCCGGAAAGGGAAGCTCGAGGTTGATCAGGAAGGTATCGGTACCGAGCCGAATGGAACGGAGTTCACAATTTCCATCAAAGATTCGCCAGAGATGAATGATTCGGCCTAAGTGATTGGAACAGGCTATGGGCAGGATTGCGCAAGTGAAGACAGTGAAAGAGAATACTACCTCTCCCTACTTCAGGTAAGTTCCTACTCTTAATTAGATAAGGTTTTGCGTCGAAGGGTTATCTCCTTGTAAATTAAATATTTTGGCACTTCTAATCTCATCCATGTATACAAATAAGTTTTCAAGATATGAAAGTTCGAACTTTCGACCTCAAAAGGAGTACATATCAATTACCAATGTACTATGCTCATATTGGCGGCCAGTCGTTAATAATGTACAAATTTTATGACTATAATAAGCTCAGCTCTTCACTTGTCACTCTAATTCAATTCTATGGTCCAAAAAACTACAAGCTGCCAATAGAGGCCAAGTCAAAAACACTTCACTATTACAAAATCCCATAACTAGTTCAAGAACAAATAGAGAATAATACAACAGCAGATGCATTCATTGTAGAAGTATATCAATTGGGAACGGCATGGCATGAAAACCATCTGTCAAAGAGTGTATCTCATACCTCAGAAGAGGCAGCAATTCAATCCCGGAAGCTCGATCCGGTTTATATGTGATTGAAGGCAATCTAGCTAGCGCTTGGTGCTCTCGTTGGAAACTAGACTGCTTTTCAATTTCTTTGCAGAAGATGTGAATAGATTTCGAACCGATGTAACGGGGTCATCGACCTGGAAAAGTAAACACAGTTTGCAGTGATTCTCTTGAGATGAAAGTCATAATAAAGAAAGTGCCCTGTGCATGTGCACACAAGTGCAAAACTACAATAGGGCATATTTAAGAGCAGGAGGTTGAAAATCCAAGAATAGAATATATGGATAAACTATATCCCATGGAGTGGCAGACTGCTCCAATAATTATCAGTGAATGCTATGGATTAACTACGGGGGACCCAGATTACTGAAATTGTTCCAACGCAAGTTCAGTCTACACCATGGTTTATTCAAAATTATGTTCCCATTTCTAATAACAAATAAAGGCCAAAAAGGTACTGACAAAACCAATCTACCGTGTCACGACTCTTGTGCATCATAATATTGATAAGTGAACATCTACCTTGCTCAAAAAATATCTCCAGACGTTCTTACGTACGTACCTTAATAAGAGATGCTGATGGAGAGTTCTTAGGTGAATGTGGTGAAGAGCTATTTTCACGCTGTAAAGCAGTTAGGGTTAGTTTCCAACCAGGTGCCACATTTCCTGTGGCAATCCAAGGACAAAAATGCCTATGCTGCCTGATTGGATCAAACTCCGTTACACCACCTGACGGAACACCCTTGGGATAATCCTCTGCAAAGAATAATGTAAAAGTAATAAAATATGATTTATCATTTAAAAATAATGACTTGGGAATGATAACACTAAGGGTATGAACTTGCATGACAAAAATACAGAAACTGGGTTGATCAATTTAACTTGTTGGTTGTTTAGCCAGTTGCAAGGCTAGTCTAGGATAAATTATATACAGAATGCCTACTCAATCAGTCTAACATTTGACACATTATGCTAATGTTCAGGCATCAATGGGGATATAGCTCTCTTCTAAACGATTTCCCCCAGTATTCAGTTTAAGAAACAAGCCAACTATCGTTCACAAAGCAAGCTCATAGACAAGTTACCTCTCAACTTATTCCACTCGAAATTGTTCATGTAAACAATTAACTTTAATAACTATTGCACTTCAGCCAATACAACAGAATTAAAGCATGAAGCCACCGAGTATCTTAGAGGCTGTCTTACCCATGGCCATGATAACTAGAGAGTCTATAAATATGCTGCACCATTCGTGGAAAAAGAAGGATTAAGAGTATGCCGTACCTCCACCATGGCCAATATGCTCGCTGTTCACAGAGGTATTCACTTTGTCATTCGCATCACCTCCTTCATGGTCCTGGTTTTCTGAGGTATTGTGGTTATCAGAACAAAGTTTGTCTCTCGTTGATTCGATCTCACTGGCAATATCTGTATTTGTATCAACTTCAGGGCACGAAGATTTATTTGGGGTCACCTGTAAGTCCAAAGAAACCTCTTTGCTATTTGAGGTATCATTTTCTGAAACCTGTTGTGGATCACACTGGTCCAAGACATCAGAAGGCAACTTCTTTTCACTGCATTCACTACTTGTGATCATAACAGAATCTGTTGACGCCAAAGACTTTTTGACTGGAGAAGGGCCACGATGCAGATCTTCTGCTTTGTTACCAGAATCCGACTGTATTGAATCCTCAGCATTCTCCACCACTTCAATTTCCTGAGCAGGAACAATCTCTGTCCTCTTTACTTGAGTTTCCTCAGTTGAACCATTCAAACAAGATTCAGGTAAGGTTCCCTGATCAGTGAAACTTATACCTTCCAACAAAGGGGTCTGATCATCACCAGAAGTACTGCATCTAGGATCAGGCGTTTGATTCTGCTGATCAATTTGTCCAGTAAGGGTGCTATCTTCACTGCTTTTGCTATCTTGTAACATATTTTTATCCAAGGAATCAGCTTGGACCATTTCTTGGTCAGTATACATCCGATCACTAATTTTTTCATCATTGAATAACCTAGCCCTCAAATTTTGGCCAATGACAGGCAAAGTGATGGTGGCCTTGAAACTCTGTCGTGCAGGGGTAGGTCCCCCTGCAATTGTGGAACTTAATTTTGACATTTCAACATTAATAATACCTGCATGATTGATGACACTTTTATTGCCTGAATCATGAGTGCCTGACTCACTGTTCAATTCAGTGGGTCCAACCAATCTGATGATTTCCACAGGTTTAGGAATTGTTTGGAATGCCCATAATCCAACGCTAGCTCCACAGAGCCGGCAATCTAAAACAACAGAATTGGGCTGAGATTGCAATTCACTTGAAATCTCAGCAATTCCATTCCCATCTACATTTTCTTTGGTGGCAGCAGTGTATAGATTGACAGTAGGATGTGAAACCAAAGTGGTGGCTTTTTTGAGAGATTGGTCGGACCCTGTCTTGCAGTCAACTACATACGGCAGTGAACGAGGTTCCCATCCAAACAAGCTAATCAGCTTAAGAGCCTGCAATATTTTAAATTTTGTTCACTTAACTGAGAACGAGAGAGAACTTTTTTTCTTTTTAAGAATTACAGGGAAAAAACAAATCTGTTATGTTTAAGGGAAAATGCAAGAGTCATACCATTTTATCACCAGTATTGGTCCTAAGTTTTACTAAAATACAAAGCTATGCTCAGAAAGATTGGCGATGGTTGAGAATAAAATAAATGACAATGGTAAACAACTCGTAAGAAGATTTGTAAGCATTACTGGAATTAGCAGATGTAGATATTGATGGAACAAGAGCAAAACCTGATAATATACTTCAGCAGTTTCTGAGTCGTGTCCATCTCCTAGGTACTCGATTTCAGATTTTTTATGAGACTCATTACCAAATTCCTCCAAGGATAATTCTTCAAGAAATTTCTTGAGGTGGTGACTCTCCATCCATTTGACAAATGAAGACGAAATAACAGGGAGAGCTGAAAGATGTAATAACATAGAACAGCGCTCCCTAAATTTATTAACTAAAGTTGGAGGAGGAGTAGGAGGAAAATTAGCCAATGCTTCATCACAGGCATTATCTATCCAGGGACAGAGTAACTTGTGCCCATTATCCAACTTTAAGCTAAATACCAAAGCGGCCTTCTCAACTGAGGGGGGCAAACCAGAAAACAATTCATCTTTAGTGAAAAAGAAAAAAAGAAAGACAGAAAACTAGAGTCAAATGTGTCACAATCTTTCAGTACTACATGTATGTGGTAGAGAATCATACCTTGTTGCTGATTCCAGGAAGATGGAGTAGAGAAAAGGAGGCGTGCTCCGCATGATTCACAGGCAATAGTATCCATATCTACATTGATCCAACCTCTTCTAGCACAATTTATAGGATTTACCACCTATGGAAGATATAAAAATTTCTAATATTAGAATCAAAGAATGTCCAAACTGTGTATATGTTCTACATAGCAAAGAAAAAGAAAAATATATATATATATAAAATCAGATATTTGCAAACTATATTTAAAACCCATATACTCTCTCCAAATAAATTGATAAGAAAATAAATATGAAAACCTAGGAAGATAAAATAGAAGTTTCCTGAAACAAATCACAACTCATAGAGCAACATAGCAAGAATACAGAAATTCATCATAAAGAAATGTTATACTGTGCGAAGGACTGATCCTATACATAAATATTAGAAAGATATTACTTGTAGGGAAAGAGGAAGAGACTTCTGTATGACTGAAAGAGTATGGAGAGAAAGAGAAGGATTATGCAGAAAAAAAAAGTGTGATAAAAAATGATACAAAAGGTTTGGCATCCGGAGTTTCCTTTATGCGAAGGCAAAAAGTAGTGATGAGTTCTCTGAGAAATTTGTGGAGAAAAAGTGTTATGAATTTGAATATTATAGTATGCCAGGAGAGTATGAGATAACAACCTAATGAAAAACACGTTAAATAACAGTGCATAGCCTACAAAATATCATTTCCAATTGCAAGTATAGTTGAGTGATAAAATATTTTCTATCTGACCCTGATTGCTCTATATTAATTTCCTAACCAGAAAAGAGATGAATTCATTTCCAATAGACAGAGGGTGTAGTTGAATCAGAAAACATTGTCATTGATATGAATGCGGTTAATCTATTAGAAAGAATCAGAAGACATTGTCAACCCCATCCTGTTCCCCCTTGCCCTAATAAATATTTCCTAAAGTGTATCATGAAAAGTGACCTCCACCTCAACCAAAACTTTAAAACTGTGATCAATGGGGAGAAGGACACCTATGTCTTCAGCACAAATAAGAAAAGGGATTCAGCTGAACTCTACTATATAATAAGAAAACAGAATTCAAGAATAACATATATTTCCAGGGAAAATCCAAGACTATGAACCAAGTAAAACATCCCTCAACCAATCGAATAAGCACAAACACTACAAAACTGAAAATTGAAAGTACGAGAAATATTCATAAAACGTTTAGAAAGTGGAAAGCTGAACCAAACCTTAGGTTTACCAAACCATGTCATCGACTTGAATGTGGTTAGTCTTTTAGAAAGATCTCCACGGTCCCAAGGCCTGCATAACGGAGCATCAGAGGATCCAGCAGAAGCTGCAGAATGCTTCTGCAATGCCTCAATTACATCACTTTTTGTCCTCAGCTCTCCCACTACCAGACCAGATGAAGAATATGGCCGTTTTCTTCCTCTCGACAATTGTCCTCCAGATGGACTGGCATTTGAAAAAAAAGTCATGTTAAACAATTTTAAAACATCACTCAGAAAAGGATGAACAATCACAAATTTAGCCTGTCGACAAACCAAAAAGACAGACGCTAGCTAAAATCAACTTCTACTTTCATCTTCACAATAACTAACATAAACGAAAAACACACAATGAGCTAAGAAAACAAAAGAGCAGCGAAAAAACCTGGAGGACGGGGAAGATGCAGAATTTGAGTTTGGAGTGGCTGGTGCATTCTGAAAGAGCTTGTCCATGATGGAATGAAACCTCTTCTCTGAATCCTGCGACATCGATTGATTCTAGAAGCAATCTCGTTCCCGATTCTTCCAAGTTTACGCAAATCAGATTATCGAAGGAAAATTGAGACTTGCGTGCGGCAAAGAAACAAAGCTACTGCGAATCGAGGCCTTCGGCACAATTCTCTCGTCCGTCCTTCCTTCCCTCTGTCTGCTCGGCGTCGGCCACTGAACGTAGTATCAATCGGTCTATCTCTCCGTCTCCGACTCGGCGCCCTCACATTTTATACGGACGGCTATGGCACCATCTGTAATTTGCTATATTTTTTTTTTCAAAGTAAATTATTAATATTTGTTTTATAAATAAATCCACTAATTACCCTATTAAAATTATATTACCAAATCATACCATTTTACGAAAATCTCCTTACATAATTCAAACATCAAAACAGACCATAACATGAACGTTTCAAAACGTTATATTTTTTATCTATGAGCGTAAATTTAATTTGTTTAAGTCTCTAAATTTCAAAATATCGAACGTTATCTATGAATTTGAGTGCAGTTTACATTTAGTCCCTAATCTTCGAGATTGGACACTTTCACTACTGAGTTTTCGTTTATGCCTCTTTTAGTCATTCGTGTTAATCTCTGTTAATGGATTTATAATTACATTAATTATATTAGTTTTTTTCACTATTATTAATATTAATTTATGAAATTCCACGTCATAATTATGTTTAATTAATTAATTAAGAGCGAGTAAAAAAAACTCATAAATAAAATCGTAGGAATTTATTTATTTATTTATTTATTTATTTATTTATTTTGTTAATGTAAATATTACCGTCGTTGTAACTCAACTACAGAGAGGGCGAAACAGTTTATAGCAATTCAAAGGGAATCCCTTTCTTCACGGTGACCGCCAAAATCTGTTGAGTTCCTCCACGACTCTCCATTTCCAACCAACTCATTCCTTTTTTCTCTCTATTTATTAACGCATTTGAATTTGATTTCCAGAATCCCTCATTTCACTCACGCCTCTGCTTCCTATCAAAACCATGGCTTTCCTCCTCCTCCTCTGTTCTGCTCCCTTCAAAGCTTTCCTCCTCCTCCTCCTCCTCTCCTTCCACTTCTTCTCCGCTGTTAGCACCGAACTCCTCGTCGGCGATGATGATGGATGGGAAGTCCCTGATCCAAAAGAAACTGGCAAATACAACAAATGGGCCTCCCGAAACAGATTCTCTGTTCATGACACTGTCAGTAAGTACACAAAAAGCTGCAAAATAAGTTGTTTTTTCCAATACCCATCTCGAATTTTAGCTTCACCTGTGATTTTGTGTTACTTTGATGCTGTTAGATTTCAGGTACAAGAAGGATTCGGTGATGGTGGTGACGGAGGAAGAGTACAAGGAGTGCCTTTCTTCGAAGCCTCTGTTTTATGACAACAGTGGCAACAGTGTTGTGAAACTTGATAGACCAGGGCTGTTCTATTTCATCAGTGGGGTTACGGGGCATTGTCAAAAAGGCCAGAGAATGATAATCAAAGTGTTGGAACCTGTCAGCCCTCCTCACCCACCCACTCCTCCACCCCATGATAACAAGAAAGCTGCTGCAGCTAATTTACTCTCTGTTTCATCTCCATTCTTGGGGATGTTCTTCATGTTCGTTGCTTCGTTTATGTTTATTTGAATGATTTGTTATGTCGTCTAGAATGCTGTGTTGGGTCTTTTAGGGAGGCTATGTTCGTTTTTTGTTTTCTTGGATTAGGTGTTAGGGAATGGGATTGGTTCGATTCATTTATCATCAAATTATTTTTTTAACAAAATTCTTATGCTATGAATGAATTGCGAGTTCTGCTCTGGTTTTTCTTCCAATTTGTCTGTGTGCAACATTGATGTGCGAAGCTAACAGAACTGTAGCTGAATTGGGGATCGCTGAACGATATTAATCTCTAAACGAGCTTCATCGCTGAACGATATTCTAACAAGTGTAACTGAGAGTTCTAAAAGTATCAAGAAGTTGGTAGGCTCAGTTACGGAGAAATCATAGTCGCGGGTTCGGTTTCAGTTTCCAAAATTTTGCATTACAATGTAATCAACAAGTCACCGTCCCAGCGTCAAAACTTTTCTTAGGCTATGAATATTAGGATACAAAATCGCATCTGGTTACCAGACTATTTTAGGAACATCATCAGCAAATAAATGGAACTCAGGACAGAATAATAATTTCCTCAGCTATGAAATGGTGACTCACAGCAGTTACAGTTAGTATCTTACAAATTGTCTCTCATCCTCATCGCCATTCTTCCTCCCATAAGGGTTGCTCTCACTGAATCGGTTTTTGCTCCCTTCTACTTTGCGCGTTTTCTTCCTGAATTTCGAGGCACTGCTGTCGATGTTAAGGTTGACCTTTGGAGGGTTGGAAAAGCAGAATGAAGCAGCAATCGCCTGTTGACATACAGTTATATAAGGTGAGAAGTGAAATATATAGAAACATTCTTCCCTATTATCTACTCATCGATGTCTAGCAGAGTAAGCTTCAAGAAGTGACATAATACAATCATTTCCAAATGAACAAAGACTAAGTTGTTGAACATATATCCACCAAATTTTAGTTAGCGAAGCTCCTCACTAAGATGTTGGAAGAATATGGCTCATCGGCAAATTATCATAGTATGCATGCGTGCGGAGATTTCGTTATATGGGTTAGATGAAAGGAAGTTAAGATCAGAACCTGTAGATCAAGGCGGTGGACGTTGAAAATATCTTTCATAGAGTGTGAATTGTAAGCTAATAAATAGGATCTGTAAGCTTCCTTAGCGGACTTGTTCAAATAATAATTGCTCCCAACCAGCTTTTCCTGCATCATTCAAGAGATTCCAGGATTAGAATCAATGGATGATTACTATTTCATATTTATGTGCCTGCGCTTGAGAGGACAAGGAAATTACCAGATGAGATTGCACGTTGGCTAGTTTCTTATCACTGAACTCATACTCTTTGACAGGAACTTTTGCTTCCTGACAATAGAACATGAACCACACTCAAACTAAAGAAAAGGCAAACACTAGTGAATTGTATACAGGAGCTTGTTTGCAAAGCAATGCCATGGTTGACAATAGCAAAACTGTATGGAATTCTGAGCTTTGTTTGTTTTTGCTCTTCCTCTAATACTACTTAACCCATGAGAAAAAGATAATTTATCCCAACTACGATTCAATATAAATTTTTAGGGAAAATACCACACCTTTAAATAGCGAAGAAATTGAAGCTCTTCAGGAATCAAGAAAAGCAGGGCATTTCCTTTGCTACCTTCGCCTCGAGCTGTTCGACCAACTCTGTGAATATATTCCTGAAAGCAACAATTTCACACAACGTTGTACAGGAATTACCTAGTAACAAAATAGTATTGGAATGACAAGGATAATAAATGAGAAGTGAACATAATTAAGGAAAAAGAGGCACCTTGGGTTCATCTGGAGGATCATACTGCACAATCCAATCCTGAGACATTCGAAATGAGCATAGAGAATCAATGAGATATATGTATTAAGCTAAATGGCTTTAAGAAATGTAATACCATTATTATCCTTTAACTCAGTAATTTTAATAAGCATTATTCAATATGCCAGCCTACAATGAAAATAGATGCGAAAAAAATACAGCGAAGGAACACACAGACACACAGACACACACACAAAAGAAGAGAGGATATGCACTAGTATGTAGATGCAGGTGTTGTCAAGATGTAAGTTGATTGATTCACGACCTTACAAAAAGCCAAGAAAATAAAAGCCTACTAGAGAATTTCCATTTATAAAAAATAACTGTTATCATGATTTGCAGGAAATTATGATCAACAAGGAAATACAACTTCAATCATTTACATTGGGAGAAAAAATGAATATAACTTACAACAGCGGGGATGTCAAGTCCACGTGCAGCAACATCAGTACATAGTAGGATCCCCGTCTCAGCCTTGTTGAAGGCAAAGAAGGTAGAAGTTCTCTTCTGCTGCTTTTGTTTTCCATGAATATCCATGCAATCGACCTTAATGTATCTAAGAAGGTCCGCATGGAATTTGACAGAGTTACAAGACGAGAAGAAGACCATAATTTTCTTAGATAAATTTCTCTTCAAGAAGGAATATAGAAGAACGAATCTTTTAGCACTGGGCACAACACAATAACCTTGTTGCAACCCCTCATTGGTGACCTACACCAACATATATGTAATTCGCTCGATTAGAAGCAAGGAATTAGATATTAAATTAACATATATATATAACAGTATATCATGTTACCTTGGTTCTTCCATCATCTACATCAATATAAATAGGAGTCGACTGAAAAGACAGGCGAACAAGATCTTCAACCTGTTATTTTATTTTGTTGGGGGGATTGGTGGGGATGGAGAGAACCAAAATCAATTCACATGAACAAATAAATGGAAGTTCATAAGATGATAACTACATTCACATTATGGTAGAAAAGAAGAAAACACGAGAGAAGAAGTATAAAAGTCTAATGCTGTGCACAAACCTTTTGAGTTTGGGTTGCTGAGAATAAAGCAGTCTGTCTATTCTGCAAATTTGATTCAAATTAAAATACCATCAGATTACAGTATTGCATGAGGAAAAGAATGACCCAACCATAATAATAATGGTGCACTCCTACTCAAACTACTTAAACCTCATTTGCTAAGGCAACAAGATGATGTGGCAACTTTTAGTAATTAATACGACAGTCTTGAAAAGGGTCCATAGTTATATATAAAAAAAGAACAAAACAAGAATAGTCATACCTTTGGTAGGAGCTTTATAATCTGTTTCATTTCCTCCTCAAAATTGGTTTCCAATATCCTGTCCGCTTCATCAATTATGAGGCACTGCAAAGAAGTTTAGAAAGAAAAGAATGTAACATTTATAAGATGGAGGATTACATACAGGAAATTACCAACATAATTTGATGAGTTGTCAGATGCAAACTCTAGTCATCAGGAATAGGAAATGGAAATTAAAAAATCTTTTAGAGGTGATAAAAACCAACTTAATTAATATATACGTCTATTATCAATGAAGGAGTTTCTTATCCAAAAAAGTGAGATTAAAAAAAATAACACACACAAAAAAAAAAAAAAAAAAAAAAAAAAAAAAAAAAAAAAAAAAAAAAAAAAAAAACC